GACAAGGGGTGATGGGCACAAGTTAATGCTGGGGACATTCCAACTGGACACAAGAGGAAAGTTTTCCCAATGAGAGCATTGGAATAACCTCCCCAGGGAAGTGATGGATTCCTCAGTGTTGGACACTGTTAAGATTCATCTGCACAGGGTGCTGGGACATCTGAACCTAGGTCATACTTTACCTGGAAAGGTTGGACCAGATGATCCTTGAGGTCCCCTCCAACCTGGGGTTCTATGATTCTATGCTGATTAACACATGCCATTTACCACTTAGCTTGGGAACGTATAAGCCAACTCTTGTGAACACAGATATTCCACGTTCACACTAAATTCCATGTTCAGCTGCTAAAACAAGTTCTCCGCAATCGTATTCCTATGGGATAAGGGGAAACAGAAGATAGAAGAGTCCAGCTGCCTTGGGCTTCCTGCACCATGACTGCAGACAGAGAATCCAAAGCTGATCCATAGCCCATCCTTCAGCCCAACAAAAGGGATCACTCCAGCACACAGCTCCATGCGGCACAAGAGGAGGGCTCCTACAAGTGCACATGAAGATATCTCAGTGTTAATGGCACCAGAATTGTGTGTACAAAGCCATCCTAGCACAGACACTGATGAAGTGGCAATGTGATAACCAGTCCTAGCACAGTGCCCCTGGCAAAGCACACATTAACTTACAGGTACTTTCGTATCTGACAAAACTTTAAAGTGCTCTTTTAAGGATAAGCTGTGTTTTTATGTCTCTAAGTCATGTAGAAGCCAGCACTGTCAAATGGGGAGTTTCTGTTTGAATACCCACTGCCTGTGCTAACAGCTACTCTACATGCATCCAACAGCACTGACCTCTTGGTTGGTTTGTCTGCTTTCATACTAGTGTATGGCATGAAAGGACAAAACATTCACCTGAAGAGGGAAATGGCTTTCTTCACTGCTGCTGCCTGTGCTTTTCAAACCCTCTTCAGTGTTCACCTCGCTCAGGTATCAGACTGAACTGCAACAGAGAATCACAGAATCACAGAATGATTTGTGCAGGAAAGGACCTTAAGATCATCCAGTTCCAACGCCCCTGCCATGAGCAGGGACACCTCACGCTAAACCATATCACCCAAGGCTCTGGCCAACCTGGCCTTGAACACTGCCAGGGATGGAGCATTCACAACCTCCCTGGGCAACCCATTCCAGTGCCTCATCCACCCTCACAGGAAAGAATTTCCTCCTTATATCCAATCTGAACTTCCCCTGTTTCAGTTTGAACCCATTACCCCTTGTCCTGTTACTACAGTCCCTAACGAAGAGTCCCTCCCCAGCATCCCTGCAAGCCCCCTTCAGATATCGAGAGGCTGCATGACACTGCTTGCTCACATACGTGCAATGCATGGGCTGGTTCATGAGGGCAGGGATTAGTCTAGTCCTGCTGGAGAATCAAATACTAATACACACCACTGTGTCCAAAATCTGAAGCAGATATGGTGCCCTCACATCACAGGCAGGGGTGACAAACAACTGACAAAGTGACTTTGTGGAAGGGACATCTGCACACAGATGGAGAGATATATATAAACGTATATACTTATACACATAAGCATAGAATCAACCAGGTTGGAAAAGCCCTTTAAGCCCATCCAGTCAAACCTTACCCCAGCACTGCCAAGGCCACCACTGCCCCATGGCACTGAGGCCTCGTCTCCACGCTGTGTGAACACTTGCGGGGACGGTGACTGCAGCCCTGCCCTGGGCAGCCTGTTCCAATGCTTGAGCACCCTCTGGGGAAGGAATTGTTCCTCAGCTCCATCTAAACCTGCCCTGGTCCCAGTGGTCCCAAATATTAGTTTCTTCTGTAAGACATTTACTGGGATTAATATGCTGACATGACCCAACGCACTCTTGTGGAGATCCTGCAGTGCAGACGTAATCTTAAACCCACCTTTTAAGCGCATAGATTATTCTCTCTCATGACCAGCAGTATCTAGGAACACACCAAAAGCTATTTTGGATCAGTTTAAGGTACAATATTGAAAGCCCTAAGGTTTGTGCCTTGCAGTAAAAGCTGCTGATTAAAGTGCACAGTTTTGATGGAAATAATGAGGCAGACAACAAATCAGGACAAGGGGGAATGGCTTTAAACTGACAGAGGGGGGATACAGAGTGGACATCAGGAAGAAAATCTTCATTGTGAGGGTGGTGAGGATCACATACCTCAGATCCCAAAGCCTATTTTAAGGAACTGCCCATGGAGGAGCTAACCCCAGAACTTACTGCTTCCCTCAGTGCAGAGCAACCTAAACGATGATTCCAGCATCTGATGTCCAACTGGGAACCATCAAACAAAGAACACAGCAGTGTTTCAGAAAGCTACAAGTTTCAAGATGAAGGGGTTCTGTGTCCCCTGGTCTAAAGCTGCTGGTTTTTACCTGGAGCTCCAGCTGTGCAAAGGTTTGGCATAAACACCTCTCCCTTCTCTTTGCACACATGATGTTCCAGATGAACAACCTAATGGATTGCCTTGGAAACGCAATACACAGAGCTCCCTATGGGCTCTTGGCAGAATTCCTTTCTTAGCTGCTCCCAGTAAGCAATGCCTACTTTTAACAGCCTTCTCCAGTTGCCAGAAAGCCACATGGGTTGCACCACGTGTGGCCACCCTCCAGAGACAGACAGAGCAAGCATCACGACTCAGTCCTTGCATGCCTGACGAGGCATTCAGTTCCAGTCCACCTCGAGGACTGCACCACTCACTTTGGTTTTGTCCTGCAGTTGTTCCTGCAGCTCCCCGTTTTCCTCTGATGACAACCCACAGGAGACAAGCTGGCAACACAACAGACCCCACAGTGTTGCTGAGGTTTACATCCATCAGGAGAAACCAACAGCTATGAATGGTGCTCAGTATATACAGAAGGAAGGTGCTAACAACTATCCTGGAGGAATCTTTTCTTACCGTGTCAGCATTTATGCCAAAAAGCCTACTGTGCAGAGCACATCATCTGCCAGCCTCCAGTGCAAATGGAGAGGGAAAGGAACGAAGTCTTTGGTAATTTGATTAATGTTTTCAATAGGAATTTTGAGACAGACCCCAGACTGCTCTGGGTTGGAAGGGACCTTAAAGCTCCTCCAGCTCCAACGCCCGCCACAGGCAGGGACACCTTCCACTAGAGCAGCTTGCTCCAAGCCCCTATGTCCAACCTGGCCTTGAACACTGCCAGGGATGGGGCAGCCACAGCTTCTCTGGGCACCCTGTGCCAGCGCCTCAGCACCCTCACAGGGAAGAGCTTCTGCCTAAGAGCTCATCTTAGTCTCCCCTCTGGCAGGTTAAAGCCATTCCCCTTGGCCTGACCCTACAGGCCCTTGTCCCAAGCCCCTCTCCAGCTTTCCTGCAGCCCCTTTAGGCACTGGAGCTGCTCTAAGGTCTCCCCTTCAGGAGCCTTCTCTTCTCCAGGCTGACCCAGCCCAGCTCTCTCAGCCTGGCTCCAGAGCAGAGCTGCTCCAGCCCTCGCAGCATCTCCGTGGCCTCCTCTGCACTCTTACATCCCATCACAATTTCTCTTCTCCACCTTGACGAGGCACTTCTCAATGTAGTTTGACACGACACTCCAACAGAAAACTGACTGTACGTTACCAAGAGAGGGAGCAGGACATTAGGGAGCACCGAACAATGGGAGTTCTCCAGAACAAACATTGGCAACTGCATTATCACTTCCAGCACTGACTACAAGCCTTGCAGGGAAGAAGCTGACCTCATGAAGGACTTTTCTATTTCTAACTCTGATCTCTGAGGGAATGTGCTACGGAAACAATCATCCTACTGAATCATTTCAGGAATTTTACAGACGAGAAGATTTATTACCATAAAACAGGTCTTGGAAACAAGAATATGTGAGGAGACTCAATAGCTATTAAATCAGTACGGAAAACATGATGCTAAAGGAATTGCATATGTCTGACACATGTTCTACCACTTTCTAAATAGAAAGTGCCTATAAAAAGCAAGCCTGTAGGCTTACTTACTCTTTTCAGACCAAAAAAGAGACACAGGTACAAATGTAAAGTCATAGGAAAACAATATATAAAGCAGCACGAAAAGCTGTTTGATGAACTGGAGCCATCAATACTTTCCAAACCTCGGTGTGAAACACATCCTCATCCTTCAGCAAGCTGAGACACATTCTGCAGCCTTACAGATACTTTAAAGTTGAGTCAACAGTACACAGAAAGGCTCACACAAGCTTTTAATGAGTTCACTTGCTAGCCAGTGTGAAACCAAGCTCAGAATAACCTGAGGTCTGGTTATTAGGATTGCAATATAGATGTTGCTATCACATAGTGCAGGTTCAAGATAGCTAAAAGCATCCATCTTTGCCTTTGTCTATTACAAGTGAATCAGCAAGCCTTGTTATCTAAAATACTACTGAGAAACATCCTGCTTTCTTGACCAAAGTGGAAAACCCTCCTGCACTAAACCATCAACGCACACAGAACTCTCAAGTAAATGGCTTTGATACATCTGAAAACACTCAGCCAGAAATACAGCAGCCTTAAAGTAAGGTTAAAGCTTTTCTTACACAAACAGATGCTATGGCAAATACCAACAAGCTTTGGAGCCCAGAACCCCTTTCCAGCCCTTTGTGCATCCTTGCAGATTGGTCTGACTCTCCAAATGTTACCAGAACCAGTCTAAGAGATAAAGCCTTTCCCTGCAAACCTCCCCTCTCCACATCCTTGGCCCATCACTGCTATAACAGTAATAAAGCAACCACATGACACTTGTCTTGAACTACTTTATGGTTGACACAGAGATGAGAATGGGAAAGACAGTATCTACCCAATGCAACTCACCCTGAACCACATGGCTTGGAACCAGGGAACTCAGAACAGCTCTATGAACTGCACATGCTCCACTCACAGCCCAAGTAATGACAAAACTATTTGTCCTTTGAATTAAATGATTGTCTTACAGAAGACTTGGCCCATAGTCTTACAGAAGAGAAGAATGAGCTGTCTTTGACTTGCATTTTGGATTGTCCTGGTTGTACAACTCAGTCGCTGTTTCTCCTCCTGCAACAAGACAGAGAAGACAAATTCTGTTACAAGAACTATCTGCTTGAAGTCTGTCATTATATTGGTAATTAATGCTACAAGTTTACTGCTTGCTTTCAGATAGCACTGGAAAATACTCCCATCATTCATATATGCTCCATCCCTGGCAGCGTTCAAGGGCAGGCTGGACAGAGCCCCGGGTGACATGGACTAGTGTGAGGTGTCCCTGCCTGTGGCAGGGGGTTGGAACTGGATGATCTGAAGGTCCTTTCCAACCCAAACCATTCTGTGATTCCATGATTTTTGTTTCGCTGATTTTGACTGCCAGACTATATCTGTTACGTGGAATTGCTCTACCAAGATGGACTGTGGACACTGCCACCTGATTTCAGTGTAACACTGCAGGACTAGAACTAACTTCCCAAGCCTATTGCAGACTTTCCCAAAGAAATTCCTTATAGCCACAGAGAAAAGTGAAGCAATGTAAAGAAGGATTTAATTGCTCAAAGATAACAACACAGTGCCTTGTCAGACTCTGCGTCTGCTCCTTGTTGGCCTTCAGCATCTACTTCAGAAAGGTGATGTCCTTGCGTCTGGAGCCACAGATGCTAAAGAAGGCTTCAGACACCCTAAGATATGTTGTTTAATATGAATAGGTTGGTCATTATGTCCTGCTCTGCACTTTGGGTTCAAATCTGTAAGAACAAAGAGAGTATATGTGTATCTTACGGGAACTCACTTGTGTTTGATAAAGCATTTTGAAGGTTAAAACAAGAAAAGCAAGCAACCAAAAACACAAACCCAAGAATCTCAGTAGAGTTATGAGAGCATTGTCCTTGAAAAGAATGCTCTAAAGCTACATTCTCTATTTAGCCACATAATTAGTAAACCTTTAGCAGACACAGAGAAACTTCCTCATTCCGTTTCTATGCCAAGCAGCGACCTGGAAGAACTACACAAACCTCCATAAAGAACTGGTATGTGCCAGAGAATGGAATAACTAAAAGGGGATGTACTGGAAAATGAAGTGCAGAGACCTCTCCTCCCTCAAGGTTAGCACTGTTCTTGTTCTGAGACAATCACTTCCCAAGGAAAGAAGAGATAGAAAGAGGAGGACGCTCAAAAGGAATCCAGCCTCTGGCTACTGCTTGCAGACAGGAGGGGTAACAGAGCAACAAGTAAGTGCTGACATGGATTTGAAAAACTGCTTAACTTCCCAGCAAGGTAGGGAGCCATGGGAAATGGAGATGGGGCAGTAATCAACAGCGTCACCTGAGCGCCTGAGTTTTCATGCCAGGTCACAGTTTTTTTTCCTAGGAAAGAGAGCATCTCACTAATTCGCCAAACAACTCTCATACAGGTGTACCCCAGACTGGTTTGGGTTGGAAGGGACCTTAAAGCTCAGCCAGTTCCAACCCCTGCCATGCGCAGGGACACCTTCCACTAGAGCACCTTGCTCCAAGCCCCTGTGTCCAACCTGCCCTTGAACACTGCCAGGGATGGGGCAGCCACAGCTTCTCTGGGCACCCTGTGCCAGCGCCTCAGCACCCTCACAGGGAAGAGCTTCTGCCTAAGAGCTCATCTCAGTCTCCCCTCTGGCAGGTTAAAGCCATTCCCTTTGGCCTGCCCCTACACGCCCTTGTCCAAAGCCCCTCTCCAGCTTTCCTGCAGCCCCTTCAGGCACTGGAGCTGCTCTCAGGTCTCCCCTTCAGGAGCCTTCTCTTCTCCAGGCTGCCCCAGCCCAGCTCTCTCAGCCTGGCTCCAGAGCAGAGCTGCTCCAGCCCTCGCAGCATCTCCCTGGCCTCACCTGCACTCGCTCCAACAGCTCCACGTCCCTCTTGTGCTGCTGCCCCAGAGCTGGATCAGGACTGCAGGGGGGGTCTCCCCAGAGCACAGCAGAGGGGCAGGATCCCCTCCCTGAGCTGCTGCTCACGCTCTGGGGGTGCAGCCCAGCACATGGGGGCTCTGGGCTCAAGCGCACACTGAAGCTGGTTCGTGGGGAGCTTCTCATCAACCAACACCCCCAAGTCCTTCTGCTCAGGCTGCTCCATCCACAGAATCACAGAATGGTTCGGGTTGGAAAGGACCTCAAGGTCATCCAGTTCCAACCCCCTGCCATGGGCAGCCTGTATTTGTGCTTGGGATTGTCCCAGTCCATGCGCAGGACCTTGCACTTGCATGAAAAGGCCAAGTGCATGAGAAGTGTTTTCTTCATCTCAACCAACCCAAGTTCTGCCACCTCAATATGAAATCAACACATACATCATTTGGGGGCATGAAATCATCCAACTCCTGTAACAGGGACACCGTTAACCTCCAAGCTATTTAATTTCCCAGAACAACAATAGAGCTTTATGAAGCGTGCTTGTCACTAATGACCTGACCACCGCTTTTGTGAAGCTCGCCTCTAAAATGCACAGCCCATAGTTGTGGGTTGAAAAAATGACATTTCTCCTCTCAAAACGCTGTTGTGAAGGAAGAAAATAACAATCCAGGAAGGAATTAAACTCAAGAGTGCCATCAACTATACAAAGGAAAACCACACAAGTCCACGTTTCCTCATACTCCTCCAGATTTTAAATAGATCAACATATTTTGGAGCAGGGTGTGATCTTCTGCTAGCTATGCCCCTTCCAAATTGGCAACACCACCGAATTCAGTAGCTTCTGATTCCAAATCCCAAACTCCGGTTGGAAATAGATCGCACAATGGAGTCCTACAGCTCAATATGCTCTAGGGGAAAATAACCTCCTTTCATTTATTGCAAACTCATTTGCAGGACAGCACATCATTAGTATAGACAAAACATATATATTATAGCAACAGGGGAGAGATTCTGTGCAAACAGTTCATAGAATCCCAGCCTGCTCTGGGTTGGAAGGGACCTTAAAGCTCAACCAGTTCCAATCCTGCCACGGGCAGGGACACCTTCCACTGGAGCAGCTTGCTCCAAGCCCCTGTGTCCAACCTGGCCTTGAACACTGCCAGGGATGGGGCAGCCACAGCTTCTCTGGGCACCCTGTGCCAGCGCCTCAGCACCCTCACAGGGAAGAGCTTCTGCCTTGTATCCAACCTGAACTTCCCCTGTTTCAGTTTGAACCCACCACCCCTTGTCCTATCACTACAGCCCCTGACGCAGAGTCCCTCTGCAGCATCCTTGCAGCCCTCCCTTCAGACACTGGAAGCTGCTCTGAGTTGAAGAAACTCACATCCCACCAGTGTGATGAGCCTGAAACTTAAAGCACAAACCTGTTGTTCTGTTGCTTTGAAACAGGAAAAGCCAAAACCCCAGAGCTGTTAATAGTCCAAACAGTGATTTGCTTAGATACCATGAGATCTTAACAGAGCCCAATACAAACAGGATGTCTTGCACACCAGATATGCATGGATTCATGTATGTATTTACTCCTAATATACCCATTCTCTCTATATATTGGAACTAGATGATCTTAAGGTCCTTTCTAACCCTAACAATTCTATGATCCTATATATACTATCTCATATATATTTACTCCTATGTATACCAGGTATATTCAGGAATAAATAGCTAACAACCACCTAGTATAGACTAAAAATAAACTGATGTAACACAACTCAAGTACAAAGAGAGGTCTTTCTACCTTCCAGATTATTAACAAATAAAGGGAGAGGGAAGGAAACTCGTGCTCACTTTGTAACTCCCTCATCAACCTTGTTGTCCTGGAAACAATTCTCCTACAAGAGAAGTAGTACTTAACTACTAGAACATCTTCTGCTACTACTTTTTCTCTCCCCCAATCCTCTTCCTGCTCCCACACTGCTCTCCATGCTTGATAAACAGAAATGAATCCTTCCCATAAAATGGCACAGAAACTGCCCTCAGAAGAAAATATATCCTTCCATTTGAGTACAGAGCGTTTATGGAACATCAGGTTTGCATGAAGCCTTTGGAAAGGGTTGTAATTCTGTCGCTGCTGTTAAAATGACCTACTAACATGTTTCATTCTAGGAGTATTTAGCCCTGGCAAAAGGTAACTGCTGATTTGATAGCAGCACATTTGGCCAAGGGAGCAGAGTGAGAAATCCCAGCCTATGATCCATAGACACAGAAATGCACAGCATGCTCTGTCAGAACAGCTCAGCACTCACTTGTAGGTGATAAAGAGCCCTAAATGCTTACAGACTGCAGCCCTGTACAGAAGATTTGTTATATGGGTTCCACTCACCTACCATGAGTTTCTTCCCTCTATTGTACTCACCCAGATAAATTACAATGAGGACCCAGCTGAGTCCAACTGATGTTCCCAAATACCCCATCAATGCAATGATTACTGCCTCCCCAAACACTGCTCAGCTCTGACTGCTCAGCCCAGAGGAGAAGGACTTTGGGGTACTGGTTGATGAGAAGCTCTCCATGACCCATCTTCAGTGTGCACTTGAGCCCTGAAACCCATCTAGTGGAAGGTGTCCCTGCCCATGGCAGGGGGCTGGAGCTGGATGAGCTTTACAGTCGCTTCCAACCCAAACCATTCTGTGACCCTATGACTCAGTGACTCCACGTTAGGGAATGTCCTCTGGCTCAGAGATCAGCCCCAGCACCACAGCTGGTAGCCATGGGGTTAGACAAGCTTTCCTAGCCCCAAACAGGGCAGCCACATCCCAGCTGACCATCAGGAACAGCCCCAGCTCCATGCTGATCTCTGGGTGACGGCCAAGCACTTACCAACACAGGCTGAAACCATGGCCAGGGCATGAATTACAACACCCCAGCACCCAGAGCTATCCATGTGGAGAAGGACTTGGGGGTGCTGGTCCATCAGAAAATGAACATGAGCCGGCTTCAGTGTGCGCTCGCAGCCCAGAAAGTAACCGTATCCCGGCCTGCATCCAAAGGAGCGTGACCAGCAGGTCGAAGGAGGTGATCCTGCTCCTCTGCTCTGCTCTCGTGAGACCTCACCTGGAGCATTGTGTGCAGTTCTGGTGTCCTCAACATAAAAAGGACATGGAACTGTTGGAACAAGTCCACAGGAGGCCACGAG